TTCCTTCCTTCCTTCCTTCCTTCCTTCCTTCCTTCCTTCCTTCCTTCCTTCCTTCCTTCCTTCCTTCCTTCCTTCCTTCCTTCCTTCCTTCCTTCCTTCCTTCCTTCCTTCCTTCCTTCCTTCCTTCCTTCCTTCCTTCCTTCCTTCCTTCCTTCCTTCCTTCCTTCCTTCCTTCCTTCCTTCCTTCCTTCCTCCCTTTTCCTCCTGCTACTGCATCTAAAACACTCGAAGGCAACCTTGTACAAAATATATGTATATATTAGTGACAAAAATAAAATAAAAAGTCTGACACGAGATGTTTAAAATATTAGGGAAGCCACTCTCGAGTTAATATATTCTTATTGATCTATTACTAGAAAAGAGGTGTGATTTATTTATACGGGATACTGTATAGCGCTTAGGCGCAGGATGTTTTGATTACTGCTAACACCTATCGCTTTTTTTGAAGTCGGACAAAATATTTATTATGTATTTTTAATATACATTTGAAACTTATACTCTTGACTTTGATATCTTCCCTGGATATGCCAAGAAACAGATAGCAGTGCAGGAGTAGTTCAGCACTTAAATCAGGGTTCAGAAGACCTTGCATTTTCATGCTGGATTTCTTTTAGTATCAATCTTTAAATGCTTGAATAATTTGATCTCTTTAAAAAGAGAGAGAGAGAGGGAGAGAGAGACACCACTACCATCATCTGCACAGGTAATTGGAGTCTCCTTAAGAGGAGCTGCAGAGCTGAATAAACTGGAGTTGAGCTGAGCTGAGCTTTGAGCCGCCCTTCAACTGGGAAATGAGAACCGCCGTCAAACACGACAGGCACAGACCCCAGCTGATGGGGACTCTGCCTGCCTCTCTTTCAGCTAACGATCTCCGCTTCTCGGAGGTCATCTCTCGGATCAAACCCGAAAGAATTATCCCTCTTCCTAGGCATAATTACCCTTCTTCCTAGGGATAATTAGAACACGCTGAAATCCGAGACACAAGGACTTGGGCGGGCGCAGCTCGAGTGGGGCAGGAGTTTTCAATCCCTATCCCCAGTGTCCCGCCAGCGCTGCCCAGGGAGGGGACAGGAGGTTTGGTTGGAGTCCCCGCCGTGTCCCCGCGTCCCCGAGCGAGGCGGGGCCGGGCGGGGCGCGGCGGGAGCCAGGAGCCGGGACACGGGAGAGAGGAGCCGGGAGCGGGGAGCCGGGAGCCGGGAGAGGGGAGCTGGGAGCCGGGAGAGGGGAGCGGGGAGTCGGGAGAGAGGAGCCGGGAGAGGGGAGCGGGGAGCCGGGAGCCGGGAGAGGGGAGCGGGAGAGAGGAGCCGGGAGCCGGGAGCCGGGAGCCGGGAGCCGGGAAAGGGGAGCGGGAGCCGGGAGCCGGGAGCTGTCCCTTCAGCACCACCGCCACAGCGCCGCCGCCTCCCGCCCGCCGCTCCTCCGCCCGCTCCGCCAACACCAGGACCAGCTCCGGGTGAGCCGGGGCAGGGACAGAGCCCCGAGCAAAGCCCCCGCTCCGGGACAGCGGCCTGAGAGCCCGCTCCCCATCCCCGCCCACCGCAGGCGTGCGGGACCGGTGCTGCTGCAATGAACAATTTTGTTGCGGTGGGACTAAAGTTTGTCTGGGGAAGTGGCGGCTGAAAGAAGCGCCCTGGCACGATAGTATCACGTCACCCAAAATATCTCCTAAGTATCTGTTTTTCGTCATGAATAAGGGGAAAATAGCACAAGAAAATGAGCACTGTGAGAGGCTGAGTCGCCAAGTGTCCTCTCCCCGGCTGCGTTACGTGGTTTATATCGGGAGTGAAAGGATGTGTTTAAGTTTGTAAGGAAAATGTGTTCCTACGTTAGGCCTTTAGAACAGTGTTGTTTATCTTCAGCGTAAATGACGGTAATAACAAACTTCCCGGGACATTCAAATTTCGCAAATTCTGTAGAGACGTGTGCTTAACACGAGTTCCAAACCTCTCCCCTAACTTTGATGTTCGATATTTACACTGACAGATGGTTATCAAATGAAGTGACACTCAAAAGCGAGTTCCACACCGGTCTGCAGCGCTACTGAAACCACATTTCCCAAAAAACTCCTGTTTTTTTTTTTCCTCACACGAGATCAAACTACCGACTTAACAGCCCGGCGCCAGGGAACACGTTTCTCAAACTATCAGGGATCATCCCGATTAAACGCGGAATGTTACAGCGAGTCAGGAAAACTCGGAATTCAGAGGGAGTATCCGAGAGCTACCGAGGAGCAGATCGTTTGTAAAGTGCAAATGGACTGTGAAATGCGAAGTGCTCTAAGCGAGTTTGAAATTACTTCTGACAAACGGCAAATTACCACTTTTTCGGCAGCAAATCCAAACTACGCCAAACAGTGGGGGAGGGAAAGGCAGGGAGAGATGGAAAGGGATGTGTGTTTACAAAAACTGATAGACGCAAGTATTTGTAACCTCTTACCTCTTCTTATCACACCTCCTTGCCCGTTGAGTACAAGTCCACACTGGGCCTCCACTGAGCTCTTAAGTAATGAGGGGAAAACAAGGAAAGAAAGGAAAGGAAGAAATCAGACACAGAAACCCACAGAGAGATCACACAGCTTTTGCTTTGTTACATGACTCGCCCAGGAACAATAGTTAAGGTGAACTGGAAAAACACAGTTACTCTCAGAGAACCCAAGTGAAATCCTCCCTCCATCCCGCCATCTGCCCCTACCCCACCAAACGCAGAATAATTTTCCTTTCATTGCCATTTAAATACGAATTTATCCCGAACTGGCAACTTAGACCGGCAGTTACATAGCAGGATAGACAGACAAACAAGTACTTTTGAGGAAAGTGTATTCCCGCTCGACAGTTGCGCGCACAAAGCTAAAAATGTACTTTTCTGGCTTTGTATGTTTAGCGGTACATTTATATTCGGGCACAGCTAAATTCAGATGCGTTTTGGGACACGTACACACCGACTTAGAAAGTGTGCACAGAAGTAGACAAAGAGCACAAACAACAGATGACCTATTGGGCTTTGCCGGCTCCACAGAGTCGTGAGGGTGCTGTAACAATGCGTGTGTCCGCACATAGGTGGGGATGAATATGCATCTGTGTGCGCACACACACAGGCACCCATGTGTGAGCGAGGGGTGAAGAACATCAAAAAACCTGCCTAGGGCTTCTGGTGCACGTCCGAAGAGATCTCACTTCTTTATTCTCCTGTTACAAGGCTGATTATTTGGGGATCTTCGCCCTCCTTAATAAATATTTTTATTGGAGTGATAAAAGACTTGAAAGGGTTGGGTTTTCTTTGGGTTTTTCCTTATGTTGGGGTTAAAAAAACACAACAAACCAAACCTAAATCTTTGCCCAGTGGAAATGTGTTAAAGACGCATTTTCCTCTACAAACAAACGAGGTATTGGACATGAAAGAGGCCTTTAAGGGTGTTAACCTATTCAACAGCCCGTGAAGAGTTAAGTAAATGCGGAGAGAGTCGGTGCATAATAAAAACCCCACTTTACAAAACAATCTTTACAGTCCTGGCTCTCTCCCCCACTTTCACCATATTGGCCCTGGCCCTGTAAGACCTTCCTTTTCAAGGCCCTTTTTTATTTTAAGTGTTCTGCCTTAAAGTGATTATGAAATCAATATGAAAAAAACTTGGCGACTGAGCATAAATTAAAGCGGTGATGGGAAAAGGTGTGACAGTTTTCTTTGTTGCCCATGGAAAATCTTTTTAGGGCACTGAAAGATGCCACTCCAGCTCCAAGACTGTTTGCATCTGTTAGGCTGACTTAAACCGCCCTCGAAACTATTGGACATTCACTTAAAATTCTGTGCAGGGAAAAGTATATTTACATTTGTTGCATTTGAAATGAGGCATATGCTGATGAACGTTTTAAAAAGAAAGACTAAGGAGAAAGGGGTAGACTGGTTAGACCACAATTTCGGTTTAAAAGTATTTCTGTGCAGTCCTGTTTCTGCTCGCCACCAAAACGCTTCCCTCTACACCCGTAGTGATATTCGCGAGAGTCCAAATTTGTTCTGAATCATCCAAGTCCTAACGACAAATACTAATATTTTCAACTTCTCACGCTCAGGCTTTTTGATACCTCTGCACACTCCCTCTTGTGTTCGGAAAAAGAGGGAGGAGGAAAAAATAAAGAAGAGATTAAGTACAAAGACCTAAGCATTATATTTGATAATAACTTGTGATCGAAAAATTAATATTTTCCAAAGGAAAGCTGTTGATTTTCTTCTTCGTTAAATAAATAAAAAGAGACTGTGCCTCTAGCAGCTTAACCAACCTTTTTTTTTTTTCCTTTTTCTTTTTAGAAGGGAAACATGTTGTTTGGTCGGATGACATTGCATAAATGACCAGTTGAATGGCACTAAGTCGAAAATTGGATAAACTATGGTGCTTTTTTGCCCGGGACTTAGGCATTGTCTGCTGTCTTGCAAACGTTCCTAATCCCCTCTTTTGAAAAATACAAGGCTTTGTGCCTGCCAAAGAAAAAAAATTTGTACAGATACAAAAAAATCAGCAGCAGACGTGGTTATAAAAAGAAGTAAATAGGTTTTAGTTGGGGTTGAGCAGTGAATGGCAGATTTTTTTTTTTTTTTAGGGGGGTAACATAAGGAGATCCTTGTGAAAAATGTAAACAAAAAAATGGCCAGAGAAGACAAAATTATATAATGAATTTTGGTGGAGAAAACTAGGTTTAAATAGCTAGGTTTTCTACATCTGAGGTAAAAAAGATAACATTTTTTGGTGGGTTTATTTTCCTCCTAGAAAAAGAAAATTGTTTTCCCTGATATATATTGTTTGGATTATTTTTCGTGCTTTGATTTTAAGGAAAGAAAATAAACCTTCTTCATTTTACAAATTTCGAATTGATTTTTTTTCCCCCACAAGCCCTTGACCGCTACATCTTTTTGGGAAGTCCACCACGGCCAGCTTTGTATGCCAGGGAGCGAGGTGTGGGGGAAAAGTAAGTACAGTAAATACGGTCCCGTTTGTCTCTCCCTGCTGATGGGGAAGCCCTCAGTTCCTCAGCTCGTCGGGGGAAGAAAGGTTTGCTTTTGATTTGGGGCACATTTCGGAATGGAGGTTAGATACAGGATGACGTTCTTTGCAATTTTGGAAACCAATTTCATTTAAGCAACCGGCTCAGTTTGGCGGAGGTGAATTTTTAGCGCATGGGAAAGGATTTCTGAGCGGATAAAGCTGAGCTTTTGATACACAGAAATAAAAATTTTTAGATGGGTCCAGGTGCTGGTTAGGGTGGAGTGGATGAATGACTAGATAGACAGACAGATGAATTTAGCTTTATCTGTTTTATCTCTCACTCTGTTAACATCTAGATCGGATATAGCGAGGCATTTTTATCATTCTGACTTTTTTTTCTGACGAACATTTGCTCCCGTTTATCTCTTTCCTCCCTCATATCTCGGAAGGTTTCCCTTTGTAGGTCTGTCGGAAAGCAGATTTATTTCCTGCCCTGCCTTTTTTCTCTTTTCCTACTCCATGCCTCCCTTAAATCATTTGCCTGCTCTGTCGCTGCAAAGTGCTCCTTGCGCCGAAAGAGAGGAAAAGTTTAGGAAAAGCAAGAAGATGGGTTTGTTCTGGTTTGATTTGGGTTCCGTGTGACTGGGTAAGGAAGTGTGACACGCACACTCACCCCGAGATCTCCGGGGGACCCCCACGGTCTCAGCCACCACAGAGACACAACCCACGCAGCAAAGGCAGGCGCGAGGTTGGTTTTGTTTAATTTGTTTGTTTGACCGAAGAAGAACACTTGTTTGGTTGATTTTTTTTTCTCTTTTTTCTTTCCCCTTCCACATTTTTTCTTGCTGCTACTAATCTGGAAGGGACGGGCGCTGGATCGGGTTTGGGATGAACCTTCCCTCCTTTGTATGAGCTATTCCGAGCAGAGGAAAATGGGGGGTGGGGGTGGGGGGGTGGTGGGGGGGTCCAGGACAGGGGGAGGGGAGGGGAAGGCACCTCGAAAGGAGATCGCATGCTATTTACCTGCAAATCGTCTGCTCCCGAGGCTGCAAGCCCGAGGCTTGGTCCTGGCAGGAGTCTTTGATCTGGATGCATCCCATATTGGGATCCATGGCTCATAAGAGACAGGTCGTGGCGGCGGTAAGCATCTAAGCACCCCAGCTCTCTCCTCTGCTCGTCCAAGCAGGAGGACTTGAGTGCCCGCGCATTGTGCAGGTTGATAAAATCAGTGGGTTCTCCATGGTGGATCTGCTGGTAATATTGCTGGGAGTGGTGGAGAGAGTTCAAGGAGTAAGCGTCGGGGTTGACTGCCGGGTGGCTGTGTTGGAACTCGTAGTGGAAGGGACTGGTGGTGCAGTGGGGTGTACTGGTGGTTAGTGGAGAAGTACGGGGAGGCGAACTCGGTGCCCGTGGTAGAGTAAGTGAGAGGAGATGAGGAGGAATAGGCGACGGTCGAGTTGGCCACAGACTCCAGGCATCCAAGCTGCATCAAACGGTAACTGTTTGATCCGTCATGACGTATCTGAAAGGAGAAAGAAGTGAAAAGAAGACCCCAAAACTGGAGGTTTGTCATTGAAAACCCCGGGTACGGTTCTTCCAAGCACGCTGTCCTGCATAGCTTCTCCCCCTGCAGAAGCGTCTAAGCCTGCGAGCGGCAACCCCAGCAACAAAAGATCCTTTCCTACCTTGGGCTGGTGCCATAAAGGTCTGTTCAAAAAATCATAAACAGCCCAGCCTGCCCTTAATACTGTCAAGCAAAAGGAATCCACGCACTGAAATAAAAACTATCTATCTATCTATCTATCTATCTATCTATCTATCTATCTATCTATCCATCTATTCATTCATCTATCCATCCATCTATCCATCCACCTCCTGATCACAGCTGTAATATCTGGGGCTGACACAAAAAAAAAGTCATCAAACAGAGGAAACTACCGAGTATACACACAAGTCCCGTCCCTATGTTGCAGCGTTACACATTGAGAAAGCTTTGCCGCCTGCTTGCCTTCCTTTCTTCCTTCCTTCCTTCCCTTCTTTTTTTTTTTTTTTGAACCCCTATTTTTCTTTCTTTTTAAAATAACGAATCAGATCCAAAATTCCCCCCCTCTTTTCCCTGCGTTTCGAAAGAAAGGAGAGTCCTGCTTTTTAGCGAGAACTCCCCATTCCTGGCGAGCTGGTGGTGATTTCTCTCCACTTCATTATATTATTAGGGGTATTATTCTGATTTTCGTTCTGGCAACGGTTTTAACGTGGTAATGAGTTGCCCTTGCTGGCGACAGATGTCATAACGAATTTTCTCTCTATACTTCTTTAAGTTATCTCTGAAGCCGGATTATAATTAAACGTAACGGTCCAATATGGATTTTAAAAAAATGGAAACAACCACACAGGCACATACACACACACACAGATGCACACACACATCCACACACACGCGCGCACTCACACACACACACACACACACTCTCACACACACAAAATACCTCTGCATCGTGGACGAGACCTGGAAAGGTAGTTGACATTTTTTGGTTCTCCGAAAAAAAAAAAAAAAAAAAAAAAAAAAAAAAGAAGAGGAAAAAACCCCCAACTCTGGATAAAACTCCCCTCTCCAAATTTAAAAAAAAAAAAAAAAAAGGAAAAAATTGAAAAATCCAAAGTTCATGTATTTCCCCAATTTTTTTTAGAAAAAATCTCTACAGACAGAGAGAATTTGCAATGTATCTGCATAGATCAGATCTCTCGCTTTTCCATGCACCTCCTTAAAAACCTGTAGGAACAAAATTTTCCCTCTGCACAAAAGCTGCTCCCTGGATCAGATTTTGTACTTGCTGGGTATTTCTTTGGCTGATGTCGTAGGTCCCTTGGTAATATAGAAGTTTTGAAAATTAAGCATCAGCACTGAGAACTGGGAGGACAATAGATAGAGGAGCTTCATCCCAGGAGACAAGGAATAAATATTGTATCTCGCCTAATAAGGAACTGTAGGTTCTTTCAACATTTTTATACAATTTTTCCTCCACTCTTTAGAATGCTTTTTCTTACCCAGGCTAATATGGGAACTAATCTGATCGAAGGGGGTATTTTGTGTACATTTTATTGGGAAGACATAAAGCTAATATATACAAATATATATTATTAAACCATCCTTTTCAATAGGTAAGTGCTCCTTCCTGTTGATTATACTGCTTCTAAATACTGACCAGAATCTAAGATTGCACATTTGTGTGTGTGTCTGTTTAAGTGTATTTTTTTTTTCCTAAATGAAAACTATGTGGTTTGTTTTGGTTTGGGTTTGTATTTTTTTTTTTTTTTTACCCTTTCATTTACATCGAATTTAAGTCCACCCCACACTCCAACCTGCTTTTAAAGCTGCCTAATATGTTATCTTACAGGCTTCTTTAAATAGCATTTTCAAACATAAAACTAGGGTGAGACCACAAAGTATCACTGCAGTGACATACGATATTATGGAATTATACATAAAATACATATAGATCTACGGAATTACATCTGTAACAGGCGAAAGAAAAACAGGGATAGGGGACGTAAGAGCTAAAGACCACTGATAGCTGGTTCGACATTTCCAAGTGCCGATATATTTTGGAGATGGGAACGCACGGAGGCTGCGTAGCCCTGGGTGGCAAAGCTGAAGGGGTACGTGATTTATTTATTTAGTGACACCGGTCCGAGGAGCTGCCACTCGGGGAATGAGTCCTGTGTGCCTGCTCGGCGCCCCCCTGCTCCTGTGCCCTCGGGGTAGCGGCTCTCCAGCCCCGCAGCGACTGCGGGCTCCGCCCGGGGAGCGCCCGGGGGCGCCGCCCGCTGCCGGGCGAGCTCGGGGTGCCGGGGGGGGCTCACACACCCTCCGCGAAGATGCCAGCCCAAATGGCATTTCCCGACGGGGAGGCTCTGCTGATGGCCAGCTTCCACCCGAGATAAGCCTGGAGACAGGAGAGGGTGTAACTTGCTTTTAATTGCCATTTAATTTGGGTCGCGTTTAAGCGTTTAAGCTGCGAAGGTGTCTTAATAATAAGCCGGAGGCAAAGAGGCATGTGGCTCCCTGCCTTGCTCTTTCCTCTTTATTTATTTTTTTTTTTTTTTAAGGTCCAGGTTTTGGGAGGGTTTATTGGTATCTGTTCATGCAGGCTAACAGGAGCTGTCACTCAGCCCTCTTTTCTTCCTACAAATGGACAAAGGCACACGACTGGAATGGAAATGCATTGTCTGAGATGGGAAAGTGCGGGTATTCCGGCGGGCGGGGGGGCAGCGGGAACACATCACACCCTCTCCAGAGCGCTGCTGGGGAGAGGGGCTCCACCCGAGGCCCCCGCCCCGCCCGGCCCAGCGGGGAAAGGAGGGAAGGAAGGAAGGAAGGAAGGAAGGAAGGAAGGAAGGAAGGAAGGAAGGAAGGAAGGAAGGAAGGAAGGAAGGAAGGAAGGAAGGAAGGAAGGAAGGAAGGAAGGAAGGAAGGAAGGAAGGAAGGAAGGAAGGAAGGAAGGAAGGAAGGAAGGAAGGAAGGAAGGAAGGAAGGAAGGAAGGAAGGAAGGAAGGAAGGAAGGAAGGAAGGAAGGAAGGAAGGAAGGAAGGAAGGAAGGAAGGAAGGAAGGAAGGAAGGAAGGAAGGAAGGAAGGAAGGAAGGAAGGAAGGAAGGAAGGAAGGAAGGAAGGAAGGAAGGAAGGAATTGCTCTTTTCTTATTTGCATTTCCTACAGTTCTCCCCAATATATAATTGAAAATTATATATTTCTCCCCAATATATAATTGAAAAAAAAAATCCAGAATTTTCTCCAAGTTCAGATTTTGTTTGATCTTCTCAAGATTTTGATACTTGAGAGAATTGAAAAAAAAGCCACAGGACAAAACCCACCACAATGCTGTTAACCAACTTGCCCTTTCCAACACCTCTTTGGGGCATGGTGAGCGCACTGGAATCAGCCACACCAGCCTTGAGCAGGGAGGCTTAGACCTGACAAAAAAAAGTTAACACACCGTGAACACACCTTCCCGATGGAGGGAGAGGCAGGAGAGACATTCCTTCCCTCCGAGAAGGAAGACAAGCACCCTCCCAAACACTCATGACTTTGGTTATTTGCACTGTGCCACTTCAGTCCCGTCTATGTGGCTTTGTTTTTTTTCTGAGAGGGGACGAGAAAAGGTTTCCCTCCACCTGGCCAACAGGCCCGGCTCAGAGCATGAGCGGGGCACAGACGGCGAGGGGATGGGGACAGGACCGGGTGACCGCGGCAGAGGCGGCGCGGAGCGCACCGAGCCCCGCCGTGACCGGGGGCGCTGCGGGGCGGCCGCGCTTCCCCGCGAGTCACCCCACGAGACACTCGCTCCTTTGCGCACTCATTTGTTTTATTTTCAGGAAGCCACGGGTGTGAGAGAGCGATGTGGGGGCACATTCCCTTCCTTTCTGTGCCGTGGGTGCCGCGGTGCGGGCATCACCCCGCAGGACGCGCCCGGCGCAAGGGCCGGTGCCTCCCCAGCTCCCTGCCCGAGCTGCCAGGAGATCACCCCGCTGCAGGAGATGGGTTTTGCCTGAGATCTTCCCCCGTCCCGACCCCTTCCCCCTCCATGCTCCCTTCCCACGCACACGCAGCCCAGCCGAGCCCACCGCCACGCTCCCAGCCAGCCCGGAGCCCAACTTCGTTTCAAACGACAACAAAGCCTCCAAAATGGTTTTGTTTGGAGGAAAGTTTATAAGAAACCCGGCTTGCCAGATGCACGTTACTGGTCAGTTCCATCTGTTAGCTTCGTTTACAGACCCTAGAAAAAAATCATATAGACCGTTTGCGCTTTTAACTCCCCCCAATCCAATTAATAACGCGAGTCAAACTGCAAAGCACTTATTAATTGCTCCCAAAGAAAAATCTTTCAGGAAAGTTAATTGGGAGCTTTCTGGTTTTCCAACCAGCGCTATGAACAGAGCAGACAGACTTTGCCTTGAGTTTCATTGTGGCTGAGCACGTTGTTTATCCCCCGCCTAAAGTTTGCTTCTGCTTCTGAGCTACAGATTTTTTTTTCTATATTTTTTTTAAATTTTTTTTAAGGAATCTGGAAAAATCGGACTGGGCTGGGAAGGGTGGGGATTTGAAGGAAAAAAAACGCCGAATACACAAGAAAATGAAATGTTCCTCTCTGGGATCATCTCACTTCCCCCGATTCATTGAAGTGTGTAAAGTGTCTGGTGCTGCTGCAGGGACACAGTCTGGGCTCGACGTCTGGCTGCTGCAGGAGAGCAGCTCCCGAGACTCACAGAGCTCTCTCACCTCCTGCTTGTCTTACAAACGTTTCCCAGCATTTAGGAGCCTGAAATCACATTTTTCCTTTTAATTGCTCCATCCTGCTTTGGCTCCTGCATTTTGCTGGTCACCCAATAGTAGTTAAATTTATTCTTAATCAAGAGCCTTCTTCTCCAACGGAAAGTCACCAAAACTTGGTCTTGCTGGATCTAAACTTCTGATGACTTTTACCAGAGTTTCTTGCATCTGAATGAGACCAGAGAGTAGTTAAACCATCACAGGCAGATGGAGTCAGCAGTGCTAGGGTGTTCATCAGCCAGAAAGAGTTTTTTTGCTGTCCATCCCCCTTTGTCCTCTGAAGTTCCTAAAATTTGAGGGCTTGGAGCTTTGGGAATGCTCAGCTGACCCAAAAGAAAAGCAGCCCTGAGGTCACTTTTGTTCATGCCTGGGTGCTGACCATTGTTTGCAGACCTATTGCTGTTGACCCTGGATTATCTCAGTAGATCAGAGCACGGTGCTGATAACACCACCGCTGTGAGTTTGATCCCTGCATGGGCCATTCTTTGTCTTATCTCTTTTTCCTCTCCATTGAACTCCTCCCTCTTGTCTGGCAGAGGGGCTGAACTTGATCATGGCCCCCTCTGTGCTGAGCCTCACCACCCCATCTCCCTTCTCTGAACTTCACAGGAAGGGAAAGCCCTGGAACAGCCCAGACTCCTGCAGGTGGGAAGGAGGGAGCTGGTAACCCCCCTCCACATACACCCCCAGATTACCCACCTGCATTTCCAAGCAAACCTCTCTGTGTGAGAGAGATGTGGTTTTTTCCTGTTTCTCTTTAAGAATCAGTATTTTCAGGACCCAAATTACATTACATTGCTTTTCCTCTGCCAAGGAGAATGATTTCATATTGGAGTTCACTGAGTGTAGCTATGGGCAATGGAAATGGGGAGTTTTGAAGTGGTTTTCTTCAAGTCTGAAGACAAAAGATGTCCTGCAATAGATTTTTCCCTGCCCTCTGGACAGAGTTTACCACCACCATGTTTCCTCCTCCTCCAAATTTCTATTCTGCATCACCACAACAGCTGAAAGGTAACATTTTGGGACTGAAAATGCATTTTCAAGCAATTAAAATGTTGTGAAAATATTAGTAAAAAAAATAAAGAGTATATCTGGTGTCTTCAGTCATTTCTTTGATGGCAGCAAGGTTTCCTGCTTGTTGAGGCTTTCATGAAGACTTGAGAGCAGCTGTATTTCAAGCCAGGTGTTATTCAGAGCAAA